AGCGAAAAACTAGATTTCATTGCATGTATTGCAAAAAACCAGTGTGTCAACAGCATTCACATGCCAAGTACGCGTGCGTGTAATGTCGTGCCTAACCTTTGTTTTCTTACTTATTATAAATAAAATAGGGTATATTGTTACCTAGAAAATATAAAAATATGTTTTTATTGTTCACCCTGGCTTTTTACTAGCATTAAACACATTTACACAAACTTTTGGGACACCTGCCTTTGTATTCCCATACAAATCTCATGTAGGTCTGCACAGACCTAGTTGTACCAGTTGGCGACAAAAAATCCCTGAACCTCCAAGGGTTAAATGAACACCACCAATAGTTCTTGCAAACACGCATCGATTTACATCTTTTATTTCGCCTTCGACACAGAATTGTTTTCGTGCAAAATTACACAAAAAAGCTTACTCGTTCGTTTTTAGCCCTGCCATTGTTACGAATTTCGAAAATACGATTCGGAATGCAGCATACTATTTCCACGATTCGTAGCAAAATCCAAATACGAAAAAGTTGCATAATAGGGGTGATTGCTATGTTCCTTCTTAACAGAACGTACTTTAGCATTTTCGACAACCGATCACTTAACCAAATGTCTACAAGAAAAAAAATAAATAAATAAAAATCAACGCGATTCCTTAGAACCTTAAAACTTGCACATTATTGCCCCGGATACATACTCAAAAAAAAATTCTAAAAAATCTGAATAAAAAGTTGAAAAACCAGCTGAAATTTTGCAGGTTTTTTATAATTTTTGCACAAAGTTTGAAATGTGGATTTATAGTTTGTTTGTTATCTATTGAGCTAGGCTTTTATGAAAAAATAATAAACATTAAATAAACAAAAAAGAAACAGCCAAAATCGATGATTTGATCAGCTGATCACAAGTGTATGTATAAAATGATTTTTATATCAATGATCTCAAACCAGTTTAGAATGAATTTTAAATCTGACAGAGCAAATGACATTTTAATATACCTTCCGTACATATAAAGTTTAATAAGAGCAATTCTTTGTGCATACATTTGATAAAGACGTTTTTGGGTAGGAAATGACGTTTTTCAGACCGAGAGGGACGTTTTCTCATGACGAAGACCTGGCAACACTGCTGACCACAAATCCGCTTCGGTTGAAAAATAAAGATTTAATTAACCCCATTGTTCATGACATTCAGAAGAATAAAGCGCCTACCGTATTACAGGTGAAATGATAAAGGAGCTACCACTAACTTCCGTACGTTTTTTATTACATATTTTTAATAACACGTTTAAGTTGGGGCACTTCCCCGACTTATGGAAACTTTCAGAAATAATTATGGAGCCAAAGCCGGGCAAAGATCCGACGGTAGCAAATTCATATCGGCCCATTACCTTGATTTCTGTATTTTCCAAAATATTTGAAAAACTTCTATTGAAAAAATGCAACCTTCTCTAAAAAGTAACCAAATAATACAACATCAGTTTGGTTTTCGTGAAAAACATGGAACTGTGGAACAAGTTAATAGAATTGTTTCTTGTATTAGAAAAGCCTTCGAAGGGAAGCAATACTGCACCGGTATATTTTTAGACATCTCTCAAGCTTTTGACAAAGTCTGGCATGATGGCCTTATATACAAACTAAAGGTTTCACTCCCTGCAAATACGCATGCAATTCTGGAAAGCTTTCTGCTGGGGAGAAACTTCTGAGTCATGCAGAATTCCTTTAGAACGGAAAGTCACCCTTTATATGCAGGTGTCCCTGAAGGCAGTGTTCTAGGACCAATATTGTACGTAAAATACCCGCGTGATTTGCCAACTCATGAAACTCTAACCATTTCAACGTTTGTTGATGACACAGCTATCCTAAGCAATAGTTCAGACCCTAAAGAGGCTTCTTAAAAACTGCAAGAATATTTGAAAAAGTTAGAGCTATAGCTAGGTTCTTGGATGATAAAGGTTAACGAGAGCAAGTGTGTTCAGACAACATTTACTCTGAAGAAAGAAACTTGTGCACCACTAAAAATAAATAGCAAGGCTATACCACAAAAAGATAGTGTGAAATACCTTGGGATGACACTAAATAGAAGTCTAACCTCGAAAAAGCATATAGAAAACAAAATTTCTCAAGCGAAACTAAAACAAGCGCAAGCCTTCAATGAGTTATAGGACACAAATCTAAATTAAGCCTAGAAAACAAGATGTTGAATTTTAATATGATGATTAAACCATGTTGGACATATGGAATTGGGCTTTGGGCACAGCGTGCAGTTCCATTTTGAACAGGCTTCAAACCGTGCAGTCGAAAATTTTACGCGCCATATGCAGAGCACCGTGGAACATAAAAAATACTAATATACACAAAGATCTTAATGTAAATACGGTGCATGAGAACATAAGAGGGCTAAGCACCAGTTACACAGTACGGTTAAGGGACCACCCAAATCGGCTAGCGAGAGATCTTCTTAGGACGAGATATGCAAGAAGACTAAAAAGAAAAGATTTCTCCGATATTACCAAATGATGAGCAATATAATATATGTGGATATCCGCAATATAACAGTGTCGGCTCTGGAACTCGTTCTTTCAGACCGACTACCCAACACCAGTGTCAGTGCGGCTCGGAAATTAGTCCTTTCCGACCGAACATAGCCTACTGGATTAGAATTACTTAAATATAGAGAAGCGAAGGCGCGGCGTGGAAATCAGTCCTTTCCACCTGCCCAGGCCGTGCGGCTCTGGAACTCGTCCTTTCAGACCGTCTGCCCAGCACGATATCCAGCGATCCTGCGCTCGGAATCTTGTACATTCCGACATTCGCAACAACCGCAACAGCTGCAATAACTACAATAAATATATATTTAAAAAAATGCAAAAATTTCTAAGCATTGCCGCAGAAATTTTACAGTTAATGGTAGTTTGTAAGATTTGAAAACTTATTGTTAGTTTCGAGAGAAAGATTCAATAAATAAATACATATTATAACAAAAAATAATAATAATAATAAGAAGCATTATCTTTGAGCGGAAAAATAAAAATCATAAAATAAACATTCGTCACTAGACACGAATAGAAGCGCGAGCTCAAAAGTTGACCGCGAAAAAAGGCGCATAAAAAACTTCAGCGAAGAAAGACTCTTAACATAGTTGACGACGACGAAAGACGCGTTAAAATATTTGACGGCGAAGAAGGACGCGTAAACTTATTTTCGCGGTCAACTATGTTTGCGGGTATACTATTACACCCGTTATATTTCGTTAATAGTCTTTGGGGAATAGTGCTGAAGTGGCAGTCCTTCGCCAAGTATAAATCTATGATTACGTGTCTTTCTTCGCCGTCAACTAGGTTAAGCGTCTTCCTTCGCCGAAGTTTTTCTTAAGCGAAAAACACTAGCGCGCCTTTATTCGTGTCTAGTGATGCATTATTTTTGATCAAAAAAATAAAAATCAAGTATTAATAACTTCCTTTGAGCGAAAAAATTAAGCTCAAATATTAGTTATTATTTTTAATCTTTATTGATTAAACTCGAAAACTAAAAATCATTGTAAATTCCAGTAGGACGTGCGAACACAAATACGTGAGTATAGTTAAAATTGTTTTGCGACGATTACAACTTGTTTTTTTTTTGGTTCAAATTAAAAAGTATTGGTTATTTTCCGTCCCTGTTAAATAGTTTTAAATTTTCAAATACCCACAGAAATAATGGAGTAGAACCCAAAAAAGAATTAAACACATCCATTGAGCCCTTCCTGTGCGATGTTGTTATGAAAACTTAAAATAATTAACTTTTGTATGTAACAGATAGGATTATCGGTTATTAAAACACACCTAATTTAAAATTTAAATTTAAGTTAAATAAGCATCATTGAGTTATTCCTTGAAGACTTCCGAAGGGAAGTCTTATTCGATCAAAAATATTTATTTCTAACGATTTTATAGCAATTCTACGAAAAAAATGATTTTCCCCATGTAAAATGCTTGGAAAACCCCAAAGCCCCGGCGGCACGGGTAAATATAAACCGATATCAAAATAAAACAAGTAAGAAAGTCCAAGTTCGGGCGGAGCCGAACATTAAATACCCGGCACAAATATTAAATATATGATTTTCACCTTTCCGAAAGCTACCGCTACATGGTAAGCCCAGGTGTATCAATTTTGAGTAAATTAGCGTCCTTAAATTTCAAAATATTGACGTTTAAAGCATTTCTAAAATTTACCGTTACATGAAAAGCCATAATTTTAGTCCGATTTCAATAATTTTCATCGTTTTGCCTTTATGTAGCAAGCACAATAAAAATACCGAGTTTGGTACAAATTGGTAGAACGGTTACCGAGATACATATATGTGATCATAAGTGGGCGGTGCCACGCCCATTTTTCAAAATTTTATTATAGACGTATTTCCTGGTAAGGAATTGTTGCAAGCATCAATTTTGAATAAATTGGCTTTAATATTTACTGATTTGTCGAAGATTTCGTATTTCTCCAAATTACCGTTATATGAGATGTGGGCGTGGTTATTGTCCGA